CCCTAAACCCTCAGTCGCTGAGCTCTCACAGCAAAGGCAGGCACTTGTCAGAGAACTTCTTCTGCAAGGCCACCGTGTGGGTGCCGACCTGGCATGCTTTCCACGGTTTAGGGTTTAGGGTTTAGGGTTTAGGGTTTAGGGTTTAGGGTTTAGGGTTGAGGGTTTTTTTTGTAATCTCTGAACCCCAAACCCTAAACCCTGAACCCCTAGAACACAAAACCCCTAAGACCCTGAACCCGAGACCCCAAAAACACTCTAAACCCCTAAACCCCTCCCTAAACCCTAAACCCTAAACCCTAAACCCCAAAAAAAAACTGAACCCCAAAGCCCCCACAGACCCCCTAACGATCCCGAAAAGTAGCCAAACCCCTAATGATCCCTGAGAACAGCCTTATTATAGACTGTTTTAACGGTTTAGGGTTTAGGGTTTAGGGTTTAGGGTTTAGGGTTTAGGTCCACTAAAACTGTAAACCCCTGCACCCCTAAACCCCAAAAGCATCTGAGGTCCGGTCCTCAGGCTTTCCACCTTTTGCCACCTCCTCCTTGAGGTTGTGGATGTCTCCAAACATTCGCCTAAGGATGGGTTTGGTGTGTAGGGTTTAATCCCCCCCTACACCCCTGAACCCCCGGAACCCGTAAACCCCTAAAACCCTACTTGTGGGGTTCATGGGACTTAGTAACTGGGGTTATAAGTACCCTAAATACCCGTAAAACCCTAAACCCTGAGGATCTTTCTTGTGGATGTCTCCGAACATGCGCCTCGGGCTCTTTGCGTTACTTAAAGGACCATGGGACTTAGTAACTCGGGATAGAAGTAGGGTAACTATACTTACAAAAAGTTATAACCCCAATTAATGTCTGTAGTTATAACCTTACTACTTACTGGGTACCATGATCCTCCAAGTACATGCCCCGAGCCCTAAACCCCCAAACCCTTAACCCCTAAGCCCTAACCCTACGCCCTAAACCCTAAACCCTAAACCAACAAACCCAAAAACCCCAACGCCCTAAGCCCTAAACTTAGCGTTACATCTGCGATTTGGCAGCCCCGCACTCTCGCAAGGTCCCTACCCCTTTCAGGGATGTGGGGGTTTAGGGAGTTTAGGTTTAGGTCTGGTTTGTTTTTGAGGGTCTGCTGCATCCACGGCACCCAGCAGTGACGGGGGGAACATTCGGCACGGCTGGCCCCTTCGCGGCGCTGGAGTCACTGGCATCATAGATCTTTCGGACTGTCTCTGGCTGGCCTGCACTCCGGCCGGGGAAGCGCTAGAGGTTTACGGATTGACGCAAGAACTATGGTGTTGTAGAGGGTTTAGGATTTATGGCTTAGGGATTTAGGGTGGAGGGTTTAGGGCCTAGGATTTAGGGTTTAGGGTTTAGGGTCGAATGCATGCCGAAGCCGAAACCGGCAACCTCGCTGCCCTAGGTTCAGGGCTTAGTGTTCCTGAATACTACAAGAATAAGGAACGCCAAGGAAATATATTGCTAACCCTAAACCCTGAACCTTCAACCCTCAACCCTAAANNCCTAAACCCCTAAACCCCAACCCCTTCAGCTCACGAACTCACGGCGACGTCACCGACGCTCCGAAGCTCGCGAAGCTCCCAACTCCACTTGGAGCATCACGGGACTTGGCAAGTAAGGTTTAGGGTTTAGGGTT